AGGTGCAGGATGAAGGTGTCATTCCCAAACTTCTCGAAGGTCTCGTAGTGATGTCTGTCCATGTTACCTGTCACATAAGAGTGGGAGTGTGTGGCCATGAGCAAGAAGAGCTCATGCCTTCTCCTGTTTCTACTGTCCCTTAAATACATGCTTACTCATGCTTACTCATTCTTACTCATGTCACAGTAAAATCCATCCCTCACTCAAGCCAGTCTCTGCCAATATGTAAGCTGCACATTCACATCTGACTGATCTAATGATATATGTAACTGAGTATAATGTAACTGAGTATAAATACCCACTCATTAAAAAATCCAGTATTGTCATGTCAATCAAGTCCACTAGTCTTGTGCCCTTGTTGTACGGCAGAGTCTTTTTCACAGTGCCACAGAAGTCTGGATCCTTTTCCCACCTGCAGATAAAACAACATAAATCACTGGATGGTTATGACATAACTGCACAAAACGAAAATTTCCCTGACAGTGATTGTTAAAGACCAGGGTTCTTGAATTATAAGAGCACCCCCCCCCCATAAATTGTATGTGTACGTTACCCAAATATCACCTTTTTTGGCCCTCCCCCTCCCCTCCCCTTCCCTCCCCACAGGGACTCACTGCGCTAGCTTGCTGCGGCTGTATGAACGCCTCCAGGGGTTTCTCCAGGATCGCCGGGGAGCCAGAGAGAGGTCGGGCAGCATGGCAGCCAGCGAGGCCTCCAGGTTAGTGGGGCAGCCGCAGATGGCATGCTCCGGGGAGCAGTAGTAAGAGCACTGGCCGTAGAAGCACACGTTACCCACTAGGAGGCGTAGGAGAGGAGGGACAGCTGGGGTTACGCTCAGTAGACCAGAGGCACTCAGCTCTCTATATGATCTTTGTATCTGTCATTCTCAGATAATACGCTGCACATCTTACCCCCCACCCCCTTCTCAGGACTCCCTCAGTGTATCCCCCCCCCACCTCATGCTCATGTTTCCATGATGGCACCATCACTGAGGGTTCACTGCACATGCTTACACTAATGGTACTGAGCCTTCTGTCGGAGCAATTCCTCCTAAACATATTTCCAAACCATGTTCATTGGCAGCTCTACCCTCTGGGGCCATCTGCTGGCCCTGCAGAAGCAATGCAAGACTCCGGCAAGCACAGCAGGGTGACTGCAAGGAGACAAACCGGGGGAGGTGTAGAAGGTCCTGGCCAGCTTGCGGTCCGTGGTAATATGCTTGATCTCTTTGGTCACATTGATCAGCCTCCCGACCACCGGGGGAATCCTCCGAAAACCCAGCACCCTAAAAATGACAAAGGATAAGCAGGTAGCCAGAAGGCAGTACAACGTGGATAGGTCTTTTTTTATCGTACCTGTCCAGGTGGAAGGCCGCAATCTCAGCGTTGTGTCTCTCAAAGTCAGAAAAGTAGAAGAGGTTGGGGTTCGTCTCCTCATTCCGGTCCTGCCTGGGGTCAGACCAGCATCAGTGGTGATCAGGCTGAGGTCTTTACTGAGGCCATGGCACCAGAACACATGTCCATTTGTGGGCCTCTAGCCAGGCCAAAGTCCTTTGCACTTTCCATTTAGTGAAGCAGAAAAGCGGCGCGGTGTTGTCATGACGACAATACTGGGTTAGTGCAATTAAGCAGGACTACAAAGCCTCACTTCATGGGTTTGAAGAGCGCCTGGCCATAATTGGGGAAGGACATAACCAGCTTCAGCTGCGTGCCTCCCGTCTTCTGCACTGAAACACCAAAAACACAGATAAACTGAATGAATCTGGGAGTTAAATGCAAAAACAACTTGGCACTTCCAGAACAACGGTATCTTCAGTTGTGAAGTTTTCTTCTTTAGTAATTCTCCCTCGCCATATTTACATATGACTAAAGTATCTTGTCAGTTTGTACACTAGGGGGCACCACAACCCAGGGAATTCTGCACTTCTGTACTTCGTAATAGAGTCACATTGGCAGCAGACCTGTGGTAACGCAATTCATGCTGTGTTTCGTGTCAAACGTGAGGGAGACGTATGTGAGTGCGCAGGACCAATGAGGATTAACAGAACTGCTGACCAAAACAAAAAATTATGAACACAAGTGACCTAAGGGACTATTGTAGGTGGGCAAATAAGACAGAAAACTCCCCTAACTGGGCATTTCAGGACAGGAGAGCTTAAATGGATATATAGTAAATGAATGAGTGTGTGAATAAATGACATGCATGTAGATATTGCAGAGTAACTCAAGTATGAAGCTCTCTCATTTGAAATGAAGCACATTGTTAACCATGCAGATGTCATGCGTAAGTGTACTGTAACATCATGAGGGAGCCTGTGGGAGCTGAATTTGCGATGTGTGAACAGGCCATCGATGAGAAAATCACCAATGACGCAGGTAAGCTCGGTGCACATGGCAGGGGTGGGGGTCGGGAATGGGGGGACTGGCAGGCAAATTCGCGTAAGCTGCGATGTTGCGTAATGTTCATTCTGCATGGGCTGTTAAGTGTCTGTTTGCACTAGGGCAGAATCACAGTTGGATTAAACAGCTGGACCCCTCCAGACCACGTAAGGGGGGGGCTGAGGGGCTTTTCACTTGCTTCTGCCCATTCTGCTTTTGTTCCCTTTCTGGAGGTCTTCTTCCTATTTTCATTGTCTGGAATATTCTTTGATATATAGTTGACATGATTTGGTCTCACTCTGCCCAGTGTATGTCAGCCAAACTAGGATGAATAATTCAGTTTGATTGATTTTATATAGTAACTCATACTTACTCAAGCAAAGCAAAGACATTTATGAAGTGTCAACAGTTTACATGGAATCTAACTATGATCGTCACGGACAGACATGCAGTACATGCTGTGGCTGCAGGAGGTTATTATGTCGCTTATTTAGCAGATACTTTTATCCAAAACGCAGGGTAGGATGGTCAAAGGAGCAAGGAGTTAAGAGCCTTGATCAGGGGTCTAACAGTGAGATCACTCTGCAGACCACAGGATTTGAAGCAGTGACCTTCTGACAGTTCTAACCTGCAGAGGCTCACACCCACTGATTATAGAAGATGGATTGATGGGTCACAGACAGATAAAACGGTGATTAAGATTCAGAGAGGAAGGATGGACCTCAAAGGAGTGGAATCAGAAGTTGGGGTGTGTATGAGGTTTGCATGCCTCTTCCAGTTTCCTTCCGTAGTCCCAAAACGAAATTATGTGGGTGAGCGAGTGTGTCCTGCGATTTACTGGCATCCCAGCCAGGGTGTCCAGGGTGTCATGGTTCGCAGGACAGGATGGAGACCTTCCGGAGTGAGAATGGTGACCAGCAACAGCCAAGGAGCGTCATGTGCGACTTTCCGGACTTTTCTGTGTTTTTATATCAACGAAAATATAAAGTGTTTGGGTACATGTGTTGGGAAAGGCACTATAAAACAAAGCAAGTGGATTGGAACCCATGTCCTTCTCAGGCTACGTTCAGCCCCTTTCTCCAACCCCCTACCTGCGCTGACGATGCGGTGTGTGGCCAGCTGCTCCATGAGGGCCGGCAGGGCTGGGTCCCGCCCGTCATACAGCTCCCAGCGCGAGATGCCCAAGTGGAAGCGCAGCCATGCTGGATGGGACTCCACACTGTCGTTCCAGTGGGTGGCGTCATAGCCATCCTCAGTGTCGCTCACCCTGGAAATGGGGGGGGGGCATTACTGGGACAGACTGTCGCTGTTACCTTCGCCCGGATCTTATGCCCTATGTGGTTATAATTCCAGCTTCTATTTTGGATATGAGCAGATGCTCATCTGCAGGGTGTCGGTGTGTCAGAAACTTTGATGCATCCTCCCTGTAATGGGTGATGTTGCAGCCTCTGGACACTCCCTCTCTGACAGCCCATTGGTGGCTTTGCCCTGTTTGAGCCTTGGCCCACGTGGGCGACTCACCACTCCTGCGAGCTGTCCACCTCACTGGCCTGCAGCCGTGCCTTCACCCGCAGCAGCCGGTCGTCCTCCTGCAGTGCCAGCCGAGGCAGAGTGTACAGGGGGTGCTCAAAGAGGGCGGCTAGTTTGGAGTGGCCCAGCCCAGAAGAAGTAAGAGGGCCTGAGAAGACCCCAGCTGGATTCACCAGTCCAGCCCGTGGGGTGGTGAGACCGGCATCAGGCAAAATCCTGGGAGCTTTGGGGGTGATGGCAGAGAGGGGGTCACAGGTCAACTGGAGGACCGACAAGGAGATGACAGCCAGGAGAAGGTGTAGGGCCAGGGACAGGCAGGCTAGGAGCAGGCAGGCCGGCCGAGTGAAGCGGCGCATGATGTGCCTCATCCTACCAGGAGAGGGGGAGACAGGGAGAGAGGGAGACAGGGAGAAAGGGAGTGGGGGAGGCAGAGAGATGGAGAGAGGGGGAGGGAGAGGGTCAGATAGGGAGGGAGAGGGAGTGGGGAAGACGGGGATAGGGGTAGAGAGAGAAAGACGGAGAGAGGGAGACAAAAAGAGAGCGCTAGACAGAAAAGGATGTAGGAAGAGAAGGAGAGGGTTTGAGAGGTGGGGAGAGGGAGAGATGAAAAGAGGGAGTGATGAAGAGAGGGAGAGAGACAGGGAGAGAGGGGGAGGGAGCTCATTACTGAACGGGATAAACAGGGTAATAAACTAAGAGAAAATGAATTATTTTGAATTAACAGTACACAAAGTATTTATTTTTCTATTTCTTTTTCTATTGTACCTCGGCATTTTTTGTGTGGACAGCAAAGTAAGAATTTCATTGCACAGAGAAATGCACTTCCTACTGTACATATGACAATAAACGCTTTGAATCTTGAATCTCGAAGATAAAAGCACTGCGACACAGAAAGAGAGACACACTTGCATTCCTTTGCAGACACATTCTCCGGGACATAATAAGCACATGCCATGATTCTGTTCAAAATTCTGGAGTCTGCTACCAGTAGGTTGGTCTATCTTTGGCTGAAAGGAAACTCCCTTTATCAGACTCACAGGAACAAATACCCCCTCCCCAAGTCAAAAGATTAAGTGAATTCACTGCAGCACAGGCATGGGCAGGAAGCACGGGCTGGCGGCTGACTCACCTCAGAGCCGAGAAGCGATGCTTAGAGAGTTTTTGCTGTGCTCCTGCACCCATGGGCAGAAGTCCTATCTGACACTTGTTCAGTCTGCGCTTCACTGTGTTCATGACGAATGACCTGTTATTGTGCTGTACAAATATCAGACAGTGTGGCTGCCAGGTTAGAGTGACCCGAAAGCTTGGACATTACTGCATGTTTACTCACTGGCTCACTGCAGGGAGACACTGTTTTACATGATCATCATTCATTCACATAAATTTGCTCAGCTCATAGTTTTTACCTTAGAATATTTTCAGTCAGCAGGTTCCTCATTACCATGCCTCCCGCCTCCAAAAACAACAACATGCTCGGTATGAATGCGATGCGCTGTCACATGACATGACAGCATCCTGGTGTCTGTAAATTCAGACAGGATTAACTGGGCAGGTGACAGAGTGAAGCAACAGATAGACCACAACACCATGGTGAGCAGCCCCCCCCCCCCCCCCCCCCCCCCCCATCAGATGGGCGGAGGTGGGGAAAGGGCACAGCAGTCACATGACGCAACCCCTGACATGTCATCACGCTGCGAGCATGCTGGTCCATATGACATGATGACCGTACAGTAGGAGGGAATAAATAGAATGATATTGAAATACATTCAAGAATATTAAAAAATGAAAATTTGAAAAGAATTCTGGCTGTCACTTTCCCAGCTAGGGTTTATTCAGGAAGCCTGACTATCAGTTAACTCTGCATCCATGCCCCCCCCCCCCCCCCCATCCCCCCCATCAGATGGGCGGAGGTGGGGAAAGGGCACAGCAGTCACATGACGCAACCCCTGACATGTCATCACGCTGCGAGCATGCTGGTCCATATGACATGATGACCGTACAGTAGGAGGGAATAAATAGAATGATATTGAAATACATTCAAGAATATTAAAAAATGAAAATTTGAAAAGAATTCTGGCTGTCACTTTCCCAGCTAGGGTTTATTCAGGAAGCCTGACTATCAGTTAA